CGCCCCGCCCCGCGCCCCGCCACTACGGTGGGACCAGCACCCCACGGAGCTCGGATAAGGGCGAGGGTCCCCGGCAGGCCCGGACGCAGACCCTGTGGGAGAGCCCCAGCAGCAGCTCGTGGCGGTCGCAAATGACAGGGGAGAGCCGGTCCCCTGAGGCCACCTGGAACCAAGGAGAGGAGGAGGAGGAGACCAAGCTCTCCAGCCTGCAGGAGGGGTACGCTGGTGCCCGTGGGGACCGCAGCAATTCCTTCGAGTACGCTGACGAGGAGGAGGAGGAGGACGATGAAGTCAAGGTGTGAACAGCCATCCCTCCCGTCACGGCCCCCCAGCCAGAGGCACCAGTGCCGGGGTCTTCACTTTCCTCCCCATCTCCCACCCTCAGGCACCAGCGTTGCCAGCGGACCCAGTGGGCAGCCTCCTTGCCAAGCTGGGGGTACTGTGGGGCAGTGGGAGAGTCTGTCCCTCAGGGGGGTCCCCGGGGCTGGGCCAGGCTGCTGCAGGGGGCCAGTGAGGGCTCTGCATCACAGCACCCGGCATCGCAGCCCTTCCCCAGCCTCACTGCCATTAGATACCAAAGGGACATTCCCATGTGCCAAAGAAACCCCAAACCACTTCCCACCCCATCCCATTCCCCCTGGAGCCCTCTCTCCCATCCCTCAGCCTGGCCCTGCCAGCATGCGTGGGGACGTGCCCCAACCTCCCACCAAAGCCCCCAGCTGCCCTCTGCGCTGGCACGGGTGCCCTCCTGGAGATATTCCTACCAACAGCTCTGGCATGTAGGGGATGGGGGTCTCCCCAGCTCTGGCTGGTGTGAGACCATCCCATATAGCACATCTATCTACAGGGGGAGGTCAGCTGGGGGGGTCAAGGGGCAGGCAAGCCTACAGAGCCGGGATTTCTCATTTCCCCTCAAAAAAAAAAAGCCATGAGCTCAGCGTTAAGGAGGTAAGAGCAGGCACAGAAATAATCACAAGAGTCTTTCCACTTGCCTCCTGCTGCTAGCATCACTTAGGACATCTCCTTTTCTGACCCGCATCCCGTTGCAGTAGGGAAGGGAGAAACTTCTTGGCTGGCTGGAGGCAGAGGTGGGATAGTCAGGACCCCAGAGTCTGCAGTTTGGGCTCTAAAAATCCCTTCCCCTCACCTTGGAACAAGGAGACTCCCTCTCTGCAGCCACTCCTTCTGTGCCACTTCTTCTCCATCCTCACCCCCTCTTCCCCATTCCCCACATGCGCACCCCTCTTTCCAGTGCGCCCCTTCCCAAGGGGTACACGTGGAGGACGCCCCGCACCCCTTGACGAGCGGCCCTGGGCAACACGGCCGCCCTGGAACGAGCTGCCCCCCACGCTGCCCCGCGTGCAAACAGGCCCTCATAGAAGCGCCTTTGTGCCGCGGCGTGGAGCCGAGATGCTCGGGGGCTGAGGTCACCGGAGGGACCCTCACAGGACCCGCCTTGTTCTCCAGGACAGGAGGGGGTGTGCGGCGGGGGGAGATGCTGGGCCATGGCTGCGGGGCTCCGCTCCCACACAGCTCACCCGCGCTCGCACCCAGGCCAGCCAGGTCATGGGCAAGCCCATCGCCCCCAGCCTCCCCAGGCAGCTGCCTGGTGTTGGCCGGCAGCAGCAAGCCGGGGCAGGCAGCAGCTTCAAGGAGTCCCCAGCTCCGGCCACCGGCACCCAGCAGGATCAGCCTTTCCCAGCCCTGCTCCATCCAGACCAAAGACCCACATCTGTGGAATATCCTTTCCACCTCCACTCTGTATCCCATGCACTTATTATTGTCCTTATTAAAGCAGTTTTGATACTAACTTCTCCTCTGGTGCCTCCCCCCTCAGCTGCAGTGATTTTATCATACTCCTTGCTATGTCTGCCAGTGTCCCAGCTGCAAATCCCATCCTCTCCACTCTCAGCAAGATTTTCCAGCACCTCTGGGATCCCTGGATTAACTAGCCCAGTACTTTGACACACACCATGGCTAACACACAAAGCGATCTCCTACCCACCCAGCCCCGCGTAGCACACGGTAGGGTGCAAAGCTTCCTCTCCAGCCCGGCAACAATTCATTTGGAGCCTGAAGCAGATTGGTCCCCTTCCCAAAGCTGGCTTGGCTCCAGCCCTTCCAGCCCATCAGACCTCCTCTGCCTGTGCGCTCAGGCAGCAGCAAGTCCCGTGGGTTGGGCAGCGAGGAAGAGGAGAGGGAGGGCAGGGGCTCTGCCACCTTGCCGTGGACCCGGCTTCTCCATAAGATGCTCTTCTACTCTGCTCTCCTCCCACCCAGCCTAAAGCGCCCCCATGTTTGCTGTCACACATTGGTCTCAGTTAAGGCTGGTGGGACACTTTGTAATTAGAGCAGCAGCATCTGATAATCAGCACTAATTGCCTGTAGTCCCATGCAAGGGACAGAGACTGGGAGGTGCTGAGCCACATAACCCAGCCCACACCCTGTTCTCACTCTCCACTGCCTTCCCCTGCCTCACTTTCACTGAGTAGGGTTCAGTCTGGAAATATCAGAGTAATGGGTAACCCGTCTGGAATGTGCCAGCACATCAGAGCAGTGAGATAAGAGGGAAAGTCAGAGACCACTCCTTATCACTGGCAGGGATGCTGGCTCAGGGATACACGTGTGCTGCCTTCTCCGTGCCACCACTTCGCATGGTACCGCTCCCACGGGAGGGCAAGGCACCCCTTCCTCCTGCCCTCTGGCTGCAAGGGCAGCCAGGAGGAACCCATCAAACCCATGCCCCAAGGTTCCCAAACCTAATATTTAATTATGCGCTTTTGTGGCACCAAATGCCACGTCAAATGCCACATCACTCACGTGAGTGCTTTTCTTCCCCTTCCTCCCTCCCTCCCTCCCTCCCTCCCTCCAACTCGGGTGCAGGAAGAAATAGTGCATTGTGAAGAGATTACACAACCATTTCCCGAGCAATCACATAGTGTCCTCCTGAACCCCACCCGCAGCCTGCTTTGCCCTGCCTACCCCACGTCCTGGTCTGACCTGGAAAAGCACCTGGCATTATAGAATCATAGAATCGTCTAGGTTGGAAAAGACCTTCAAGGTCATCAAGTCCAACCGTTAACATAACACTGCCACCCCACCACTAAACCATGTCCCTAAGCACCTCGCCTACCCGTCTTTTAGATACCTCCAGGGATGGGGGCACTATCCAAGAGCCATTTCCATCCAACAAGGGCTCCTTTCCTTTCAGTGGAAAAACCTCGGTCTATATCAGTGTCTCGCACAGAGCCACAGATCGCACAGAAGCCAAAGCAGCTGGAGCAAGCAGTCTCCCACTGCTTGCATTTTTATTAGAGCTAGGAAGCAGCACCCATCAATCCAGCTTGAAGGACACAACCCTGAAGCCTCCCTTGACGCTCATGTAGCTGATTTTGTTGTAGCTGTGCCTATTGGGGAACTCCATTTCATGCCCATCTGGTAGCTTCACTTTGAACTTGTCGTCCAGCATTTCAATGATGATCTGGGAGAAAAGAGGGGAGGAAGGGCAGGAATTGGGGACAAGGAGGAGATTAGGAGGTGAGCATCCAGGCGAAAGGCCTGACTGTTACACGTGAAGGTCAGACTTGGTCCCTACAGCTCTAGGCAAGGTGCTGGGGGTTGAGCTAATGGTGATGCAGGAAACAAGCTGTTGATATCAAGGGTCTGAGCTGGTAGCTAGACTATAACCTGGGGACAGGATCTCTCCTGGAGCTGCTTCAGATATTCGGATTGTAAACTCAGAGCAGTTAAATCCAAGTACATCTTTATACACCACATGGCTTAGATCTGCTCTGAACAGGGCAGAATAAACCTGACATCCCAATGCCCTCAGCAGCTCACCACGATGTGGAAAAAGGAGCTTTGCTGATAAACATGCACAAGCAGACAGGACAAGAATGCATCGCTGATCATTCCCCAAAGCCATAACCTCGCCACCCCTTCCTCAAGAGCCAGCCATGACCGAGGAAACAAGCTTCCTCTCCACAGCAATAGGAACAGGACTGCTCCTAAATTCAGGCCTGTTAACATCTCCGGACATCAGATGGGGTGAGGCAGCAACTAGGACAGCATCTCCAGCAGGAGGAGAGGGAGGACAGATTGGCAGCGTAGATCCAGGAGCAGTGAGGACAGAAGAGCTGAGGGGAGAGGGGTTTGGACATTGCTCCAAATTCTGGGTTGCCTTAAAGCCCATGTTTGCATAGGAGGGAATTAGGGAGAGAAATAAGGTAGACAGCAGCAAGATCCTGCTTCTTGGAGACGCCCTTCACCTATATGCATGCCCCTGGTACACTCATTTGCTGGGCAGGTATGGGGGCAGGAAGCATTTATAAAGACTGAGACAGACAGGGCTCATGCAAAGTTCCCAGAGGAAGCATTAGGGTTTTGAAAGAAGAGTGGAAATGGCAATCAGGACCAAAAACCCAGAGGATGAGAGGCTGTTGGGAGGGAGCAGGAGGCATTAGATGGGACTGGGAGGAGTAGGGTATGGGAATCTGCTAACCAGGGCTTTCCCCCCAACACCCTCCCACACTCACACAATCCCATGCTGACACAGACCCCTCACCTTGACAGTAGAGCCCCTGGAGAAAGGGAGGTGGTTTTCACAATGCTCTTCCTGCCAGACAGTGGAGCACTTGGAGTTGCAGATGATGACAGACTCATTGAAGCGGGGACTGAAGTGAAATGCCAGATCTGAGGATTTGCAGCCGAGATTGATGCTGAAGCTGTGGGTGAACAGGAGGACGGTCAGCCGCATGGGCAGGACGGGGTCTTGGAAGACCTGAGAGCTGAAACACAGCTCTGCACCCAATTCCTCCATCAGCATTGCAGGTGCTTGATGTCCCCTGTTTCCTCATTCTGCTTGGGAACCGGTGGGATTTGCACAGGGGTGGCATAGGTGCTCCCCTAACACTGAGCTATGCTCACACTTTTTGTACCTGGCAACCTTGGAAAATCACCTCCCTTTGCAGCCCACCTTCAGTCCTGGCAAGTCAAGGTGGTTTCTTTGTACTTACCTGTCAGCATCTTCGGATATCTTGCCCTTGACCTTCAGGGTGTCCCCAATCTTCATCTCCAGGTTGAAGATTTCAAATTTTTCCTAAGACAGACAGACAGAAAAACAGATTGCAGGGCCCCTTCAGCCATTCCTCCCCTGCCACCACAAGTAAGAGGGTGCTGCTTGGAGAAGGTGCCCCAACTGGAAGAACATCTACTGCTCTCAGCTGGTGTTTCTCTCATGGCCAACAAACCTCCATGCTGGAGGTCTTCCATGGGCTTCTCACTCAGTGAGGGAAGAGTGGGCTGAGTGAAGCGAGCGAGAAAAAGACATCAAACAGAGAAGGGATGAAAGCAGGCTTGTCCTCAGCAGAAGGAAAGAGAGCATGATAGCAGAGGTACAAAGAGGGTTAAGGCAGAGAGACACAACCAAGAGTTTGGTGGGCAGCATCGCCTGCAGCCCAAGAAATACAAGTGGTGAGAGCAGAGGTGGCTCTGGCTTGCCAACCCCTCACTCAGCCTTGCTGAGCTGGGGACCCTGGGTGACAGAGGACAGGAGCAGCAGTCCTTACAGCCATCTTCCTCAGAGGGCAGAGTAACCAGGGAGGGAGCCACCAGCAGTTTAGCTCTGAAATGCTTTGCACAGAGTACCTTATATCCCTAGACTTCCTTGTGGCTTACACATTAACAGCAAAGCCACACCAACTGCTATTAAGACTTTGATCCAAGGAAACAGCTGCCCCTTATGTACACTTACTCTCATTAGGGGCTTAACCAATTCCCAGCCTCCCCAGTGGAGGGACCACCACACACAGCCCTTAGGGGTGCTACTCCAGCCACCACGTAGGACAAGCGTCTTCCCAGCTGGCCACAGAGGTGTGACCACCATGTTAATTTCTTTTCTGCATGTAACAGCTCAGCCAAAAGCATCCCAGCTCCTTCCTTTTGTGGCGGGGGCAGCCCACAAAATCCACACCAGCACACCAAAATGGTCCCCACCATCCCTCCCCACAGTGCTCTGAAGAAGGGCTCCAAGGGGCTTGGAGGAGCTATGAACAGTCCTTTGCAGGAGTGACAGGAGTGGCATCCCAGTTCCTTCCCTTCTTGTGGTTCTAGATTGAGCCTCAGCTGCGTGGATTGCACTACCAATACATGGGAGCTCTCTGCAGCTCCCCACCCCAGCTCCATCCAGACCCAGACCTTTTAGTTTGAGGAGCCATGCACATCAGGTTCAATAGCCCCATCCTCCCTAACCCTGAAACACAGGAATGCTGTCCTCACAGGGGAGCATCACCCCTGCTGTCTTCTTCCCAGGTAGGAGCTACGAGTGAGTAGTCAGTGTCCCAGATTTGTTTGAACAAATTGGTGGTGTTTTGCCAGCAGCCTCTCAGCCCCGCTCCCAAACCCTGCAGAGAGCAGCTGAGTACAGTCATCCTGCTGCTGCACAGACAGCTGGGAGACAGCTTCTGCCTTTCCCCAAAACCTCCTGAAGCAAGCAGATATGAGTGTTGATAAGCACTCCTTCCCCAGAGGTGTTTCCTGTTAGCAGAGGGTCATAAATCCCAGCAGGCTTGGGAAATTTGTTTGCTGTTGAGGTCACTGTTGGTGAAACCTCCCGGGGCTGAGCGTGGAGCTAGCAGGAGCAGGTGCTGGGGATGGTGGTTTCTGCATTGGGTCTCTTTCCCAGCATGCTGCTGTGTCCCACCTTCACATCACCCTGCTCCCCCGCAGCCATCCCAGGAAGAACACAGAGCCCAGAGCCCCCCTCTCAAAATACCAGAGCATCCCACTGGCTATGAGAGGTTTCTCTTCCCAGCAACTCACATTGTCCCTTTGCAGGGACAGGGGCAGTACAAAGACGCTGTTTGCATAGCTACCATCAAGGTTAGATATCTGAACTCACTTTAAGTCAGTGGGTAGAAAGAAACACTTCTAGGGCTCAAGAGATTACATCCCAAGACAGACCCTGAACTCGGTCAGAAACATCCTGTCCTACGTGGCTGGCCAAGGTGACACAGGAATGTTGGGGCAGAGACAAGACCCAGGTGCCAGGCCAGTGACGTAGAAGAGCCTTCCCCCCACTTCCCACACAGATCAGACAGAAACATCACACTCACTGGGATTTATTCGCTGATCCCACTGGCAAGAGCATCAGGCTCTGAGGGATGGGGAAAACTACCTGTGCAGAGAGTTATGTGTGGAGTCGCAAGTACCGCGGATGTGAGAATACATGAGGAGGGAGACGAGCAGGAAAGAAGAATGAGCTGCTCAGAGAGAAAGGGGACGTGAGATTTTATGGAGATAACATTAACCCCCCTCCTACAACGCTCAGCAGGGGCGTTCACCCCCCGTCTATTTGCCACTGGGAACAATAGTGGGAAACCAGGCAGCAGCTCTGCCAGCACTGGCGACTTCCTTCGTCTGCAGAGCTGAGCCTCCACATGGTCAGGCACCAGCCCTGCGCAGATGGCCTCTCTCATGCAGGGGTATGACCTCCCCACATAGGGAAGGGCTGAGACTTTAGAAGAGCCGAAATTCTCCAGTGCAATTGGAGGTGGAAACCGGGGTGATGAAAGGAGGGTGAAGGGGGCAGGCTGATACCTCCCTGCAGGCACTGCAAAGCAGAAAGCCTGAGGAAACAGTGATATGATGGGAACATAAATCCCAAAGAAAGAGGAAATCTGGGCAAAGGGCATCTGCAAAGGAGGTGGAGGGTCTGTGCAATGAGGAAAATATAGGCAATGGTTGTGGAAGCTGGCAGGCAGTGATGCAAGGGATCCAGGAACCCTTCACCCCCAGAGAGATGACCCTATAATAGGGAACCTGCCTGGGAGTGCTTCTCCAGGGCCCCCATATAGGTGTTCATCCAGAGGGCAGTTGGTCTTTACTGGCGTGGGATGCCCACATTCCCACCATTGGCACCAGAGAAGGCTTTGCTGCATTTCCAGAGGGTGCCTTGGGACAGCAGAGACCCAACAAGCAGTCACTGGCACGAGGGTGGGGGCCATCCAACAGGGAGCAGGCAGGCCTGCAATTTTATATGGAGAAAACAACAACAACAACAATGACATTTCAAGGCAGGAATAGAACACTGCAACCACGTCAGCTTTCAGTCAGAAGGGTGGCAGGGCAGGTCCTCTGCAGAGTGCTTTCACCCCATGAAACGTGGCAGCTCCACTTGCAGAGATCCCATAAGGTAAGTTTTGGGGTTAACAGTCCTTCCCAGCCTTCCTGCTAATCCCAGGGAGATCTCAGGCCACCAGGAGCACCCATGGGATCTCAGGACCCTCGGGGTGGCTCCAGACAGCAAGACATCACATACCATAGCCTAGAGCCACCACCGCTACCACAGGGCACCCACACAGCTGTTGAGAACAAACTGAATGCCACCCTCCCCAACAGGCTGCCAAGATCCTGGGCAGCATCATTGCTGGCAGCAGTATTTATTTTGTTTTCTTACTCGGGCAGGAGATAAGCCAGCTAGGTGTGAAGCCCTGAGAAAAACCACAGCCTTCCCCACTTCCCAGCCAATGTAGCCCAACCACCCTAGCTGTGAGAGGTTTCTCAGGGACTTTTGTGGCAGGGGGCAGCCCCCAAAATCCACACCAGCACTTGAAAATGGTCCCCACCATCCCTCCCAACAGTGGTCTGAGGAAAGGCTTCAAGGGGCTCAGGAAGCCAGGGCAGCCAACACGTCCTCTCTAGATGACAGAAGCCTGCAGGAGTGACACAGGTCTCACCAGATGTGATGCTCAGCCCAGAAGGGAAGAGGGAGAGGGGAAGGCGAGGTGGCCATGCCGGCTGCAGGAACGTCTCAAACCAAGTCCTGTAAGAAAAGGCAAGGGATCCCCTTAGCACCCTAACAAATGCTGTGCTAATTAGAGGCACCAGAGGAGGACACCGGTGGGGGGGGAAAGGTGCCTGTTCCATTTTGCACTCAAGGCACCAGGGAGCCTGTGCTGTGGACCAGGCATCAGCATCCGCTCAAGGCAAAGGGAGCTGGAGAGAGCAACCGTGCATTCTTTCTCGGAGTAGCAGCTGCTCACTCTGCTATTATTTCCTACTGCTTCATATAATTTGTACTCCACAGCAAGCTATTGTCCCTCTCCACTGGCTATTTATTTCCTTGAATAGCCTCTGGGGAAGGATTTCAGTGCAGGAGTAAAGAAAAAAGAAAAACTCCACACAATAAATATCAAGCGGTGACCTGATTTAAACCGTGTTCTCTGACCTCATCTGGGCCCTGGTTGTGGTTCCTCCTGCCAGTTGCGATTAAGCCTGTTTCTGACTTGGTTTCCCCCTCTTATGAAGCCTAGTGGGAATGCTCCCTGCCTTAGAGGGCTGTGGGGTGGATTTCAAGAAGCTGAGCTTTGGATTTTCAGGACAGGACCAAGAGGCTTCCATCACCTCCTGATGGAGCTGCTCAGAGCTCCTCCTGACGGTCACAAAAATTCCCAGATAAGTTTGAAAGGACTGGCTTCCCCCTTTAGTCGAGAGATGTTGGTTTGCCTCTCAGCAGATAGTGCTGCAACCTTCACCCAAGCAATCCCTAAGCTCTGAAAGCCAGCCAGCTTCCTAACGGAGGACGACCAAGAGAACAAAAAGTACTTACCTCAGCCAAACATTGAGGTAAGCAGGAGACTGGATAAGCAGGTCTGGGGATCTGGAGGGTGTGTAACAGGAGAGGATTGTCCAGGAGATGCAGGAGAAGCCAAGGCTGAGCACAAGGAAACTGGTGCCCATGAGCACTAACCTCCTGCCTGAGAGGTTAACCAGAGTGGGATGGCTCCTCTAGGGAAGGCATTGAAGTCTCCGCATTTGGATCAACTAAAATGGGAAGGAATAAAGGACTGGAGGTGAATCTCCTGCCACCCCTCATGCCCCAGCTCCCTGACAGTGCATCACTCGGAGCCCCTGTGGAAAGTATGGAAGTAGTATCCATGCTCTGAACCTGGAGGCAAGGGATTAGAGGCCATCAGCCTCCAGCAGGCTCTCCACCAGCACCACCCCCATTCATCTGCAGGGTGCAATTTCTCTTCCTTAGGATGTGGGGAATAAGGAAGAGGAAGGACAAACCCATCTGAAGAGCTAAAATGTGGGAAAAAGCACCTTTCTTCAGAGCTAGGGGCAGCAGTGGAGGGAACCTGCACCAAGCAGTGGGGCAGATCAAGAGCACAGGGGAGGGACGTAGCCTCAGACTCCATCTCTCTCCCTACCCTATCAGAAAGGTGGTGGTGCCAGAGTGACTGGCATCCTCCATCTCCATGGGGAGCTCTAATGTGCTCTGATGGATGGTTTCCATCCCCAGGGCCAAGTTATGTCCTTATACTTTTGCAGGGGACATCCCTCTCTGGCAGTTCTGAAGTCTGTGGCAACACTTTTGTGTGCTATGACTTGTGCACAGAGAAGGGAGGAAGGTAGTTCATGTGCATGGGAGCTGGCTCATAAGGCACCAGGGCCATTTCATCAAACCAAGCAGCCAGATGGGTCCTCAGCTTGCCTGAGGGGCAGGAGAATGAACCAAACCAGCAGAGGATGGGGAAGGGAGGTCAGAGGACTGATTACACGCCACCCAGTTCCATTTCCAGCCTTCATTTCTCTAATTCTTTCCCTCATGGGGGCATGCCAGGAATGTGGGTTGTGGGAAAGGCTTTCGAAAACACGCCTTAAGATAAAAATGCACTTGTGTTGAAAGCTTCCGAAAGAGAAGATGCATAGAAGGCTCGTGGCTTCCCCCTCTCTCAGACTTCTGGGACCTCCCAGCTTTACCCAAACTTGCTGGATGAGATATTAATAGCTTAATGGGAAAAGGATCTTCCAAAGAGCTCTCCACAAAGGATCAGCTTCATGAGGTCCTATGCTCCACTTACATCTTGCACCAAAAGCTTAAGATCTCCAACAGCTTTACCTTACCATTGAGTAAGGAAGATGGCAGCCCCCTCATCTTGCACATGGGGAAAATTGGCACAGATACCCAAGTTCACATCCAAAAAAACCCTCTTCTTGTTTAGATTCTCATCTTAAAGCTCTCATGGACAGATTTAAAAATAAAAATAAATAAATAATCCAGCTTTGCAAACTAGAAAGATAGAAGGCCCTGGAGGCTAAAAGGATGTGGGGTCTCCCTTGGCTAATGCAGCTCGAGTATCAGAGATGCCTATCTCTCACCACACTATCTACTATCAGTAGGAGGTACTGAGGCATTCAGTGCCTCTGAAAAAAAAACCTAGCCCTTGGGTGGGTCCAATTAAGTCCGAAAACCAGAGGCATTCAAAATGAGCAGACACCTTCCAACAGTGGAAGCCAGGGGACTTCCCAGATGCCCCAAGCCCAACTCCCCTGACTTCATGAGGACCATTTCCCACAACAAAGACAGCGTGAGGCCAGCTGGCTGGAACTCGAATAAGCAAAAAAGAAACGCAGCGTTGCGCCATACACAAAAGGTCCATGGGGACCTCCTTCCATTGAGCTCTGAGCAGCCATCCTGGATTCAACCCGACAGGACAGTAAGGGCATGCAGAGAGAGTGACTGCCGAGTCCCCGCCTGCAGCGGTCCATCCCGCACAGGGAGAACAAGGCTGCCTGCACTGAGTGACTCGCTTTGAGTGTGTTTCTCACGGGCTCCAGTGCTGAGCCCAGGCGGGTTGGACAACTCTGAGGACTTGCAGGAATCCTTCAGACAAGCAGAATCCGTCTGAGTCACACACACGAGGCGTGATGCCAAGGGTGGCTCATCCACTGGAAAAAAAAAAAAAAAAAAAAAAAAAAGAAAGAAATGCTAAGGGAGAAATAGCAAGTTTTGAAAAGCCACAAGAATTAACAGCTCATGGGCTGGAAAGAAGGGGACCAAAAAAAACCAGGTCTCTTCTCCCATGCTCACGTCACTAAAGCCAAGTATCCCTCATCCCCACCAGGAAGCAGCAAGCCAGCTTACCACCCATCAGCTTTGAGGGGGTCCAAAGGGGCGATCCACCCTGGATCTAAGGCTGTGGCTGAGGTCTGCAGAGGAAGGGGTTGTCAAGTCAAAACTATCTGTTGCTCCAAAATCAGCTTTAACAAACTCCCTTTGATGGCCCTGCAAAATGAAACAGTAAAAACCAAACCAGATGGAAAGGGGAAAGAAAAGCTGCCAAAAAAAGGGAATCCAAATCCCCAAATGACTGACTCAGTGCAGGAAATGGGCATCTAAAGAGGGAACTGCAGGCATCTGAAGGAGACCTAAGAAAAGACCAGGCCCACAAAATCAACTCTCCCTGTTCCTCTCCTCCCCTCTTCCAGAGGGAAGGGCACCAGAAATACATGAATCCATGGACCTTCAGAGTGAGCCACAGGGAAAAGAGCTGAGCCTGACCTGCTGCAGAAGCTCCAAGGACAACCAAAGTGTAGACAAGGTCCCAACTCTCACCAGCATGAGAAGTGCTAAGTTACTTTTTCCCTGCTTCCCAGTGAGGAGCTACAGCCACAGCCTTGCTTAGAGTTGCCACTGGGGTGAAGGAGCTTTCAAAGCCAGCACCTGAGCCTGCTGGGTCACGGCGCTGCCCAGAGATGTTTCATCTCCACACGGTACCCCAGGGAGCAGGGCAGCAGTTGCTTTGCACTGCTGGGATGTCTCGTCTCCCTTTCCAGCGCTACACTGGGCACCAAGGGACAGCTCGTGCATTTGAGGACACCCTGTTTTGCCAACCAGTCCCATATGGGCACCCTGTCCCTCCTCCGGACTGCTCCTGTGAGCCTCTACTCCTGTTCCTGACCCATCCCACGTAGCCAGTAGTACATAAGCCCTCACTTGACCACAGTGGATGTTTATTTTGCATTCCCAGCAGTCATGCTAGGCTGTTTGTTCTCTCTGGCTCTCTTTCTCTTCCCTCCAGATTGTGCCTCTTCCTGCTGTCCTTATTTTCCCCACCACTGGCAACATACCCCAGCCAGAACCTGGCTGTGTCTCTCTGGCTGCCCCCTGGTTTCTTCACGCTGGTTCTCCCCCAAGAGGCCCCTGCCAGCAGCGAAGCAGTCAGATTCCTGGATGGAGAATGCTTGCTCCCAAGAGGGGAAAAGGGTATTGCGAACTAAATGCTTTGAACGCGACTCACGTCGGACAAATCTTATCATATCCCAGGCTGAATAGCCCCGAACACATTGCCATTCACGGCACGACAGACAGACTTGCCAAGCCAGGAGATCTCAGAAGAACAATGGGAAGAGGACTGGTGGCTGCAACCGCCAGGCAAGCTCCCACCCGCACGCAGATAGCTTATCTCTTCTTTCAAGATGGGACACGCATCAATGTCTGCTGCACAACAGCAGGGAAAAGCTAGTGGAGACCTGCTCTCTGGTCCAGAACGTGCACGTAGCACTCCTTACAACACTGTCCCTGAGGAACATCTCTATTGCTCACTTGGTCTCATTAGGAAAGGGCTGGGAATCTTTCCTGAACAGCTCTGGCAGAGATGCAGCTCCCCAGGGACCCAGCTCAGGATGAGCTGAAGAGTGCATAGGGCCAGATCCAGACACCAGCAAGCATCTGGCCAGCTGCAGGAGCAGCATGGCAGCTAGAGGATGGCTAGAGGGAAGAGGTCTCATAGCCCTCTCTTAAGCCATGCTGAGACGCTGTTGGTTTTAACCCCATCGACTCCCAGCATGTATCCTCCTCCCGAAATTCAGCCAGAGCACCACTACGGGGAGGCGAGCTACTTAAGATGCAAAGCTACTCTGTGTGAGGAGGGAGGTGGAAAGAGGAGCAGCCTCTGCTGGGAGCATCTCCTCCTTCTGCACAGAAGAGAGGGACTCAGGCTGCAAATCGTGAACGGCAAAGGTGCAATGTGGCTGCAGTGAGACCCAGAACACAGGCACTGCCTTCAAAACATCCTCTGGGCTGAGGGGAACAGCATGACACACAAATGCAGCCCCCCCCGCCCCCCAGGCAGAGGCCATTCAGGTGCACCCAGAGGCATGCATCTGATCCTTCTCCTTGCTGGGGGACTCATCTGTCAGCAGCACATTAAATGGGGGATACATGAGCTCTGCTCCCTGAGTGAGTTCCCAAACCTGATGCAGTTTGGGGTAGCAGGGGAAACAGGACAGAGCTACGTGTGTATGGGAAGCCCTTACAGAATCGTGTGCTCTGTGGGCAACATCATGGGCTTCTCGTTCTGCCTGCCCAAGGCAGGAAAGCCGGAGGGGCAAATTCAAGGTGTCTGTGCACCCAGGCCTGTCTGATCCCCTGCACCAAGGTGCTGGCCCCCACATGTTCAGGCAACGTTTCCTCATAGCATCTCTCGCACCCCACAAGGCAGGGGGTCAAACGCGGCCAATGATGCATAGCATGGGGTGTAGGACACTGAGTCACAACCCTGGGTTCAGCCATGCCCAGCAGACAGAGCGTTTCCCAGTTTCAGTCTGGCACACACACTCTCACCCCACACGCTCACCTATGACCTGTTGCGTGACACTTCCCACCTTCAGAGAGGGAAAAAGTGGAAAATTACGGGGTAAACATGCAGGCTGCAGGGGGACTGCACTTCAAAAGCCTGCCTTCAGAGGGACCTGGGCTTACAGGGCGCAGCTGTTTCGCTCTTGGCCCCGAAAGCAAGGAGCAGGGCACAGCTCTCCTCCCATGCGGCACTGCTAGCTGGTACAGCCCAAAACCACGCCAGGGAGGGTGCTAACAACCGCACGGCGTGAGCCATCATCCCGAGGCAGCGCTCAGGCCTGGCCCTGCTCCTGTGGCATTTACCAAGACAGACAAAGCCAGAGGGACCAGAAAGGAGCCTAGGAAAAGGCCAGGTTCACCCTTGAGAAATCTGCATACGCAGACTCTGCGTCTCCCTCCTCCTCCTGGGTCGCAGTTTTCTTTTTATTCCTAACCACACGCCTGGCACTGGGTTCACTCTGCCCTGCTGCTCCTCACCACTGCCAAAAGCGGGGCTGAAGCTGGATGTGGTGCCAAGCGGCAGAGGCCGAGCAGCCAGGCTGGAGGGGAAGAGCCGCCGAGCTGCCTCCTCCTGCCGTTTCACAGTCCGGACTTGAGCCAGTGCTGAAGTTTCCTAAGGAACCTGAGGCAGCTGCAGCCAAAGCAGGATTGCTGGCAATGGGGGATTTTCAAAGCCTGGGCCAAAACCCATCTATTCAAGCTCACCAGCTGCCAAACCCGAGCCAGCTGCACAGCCGAGAGCACGTGCATTCAGCGCCGGAGCACCCTGCAGCGGGAATGCCCCCTCCCTGCGCTGCCTTGTAAAAGAGAGGCTGCACACGGCTGCGTCTCTGAGCTCCCTGGGCGGCTGCTAGGCTACACATCCCCAGCAAACGCTTGACTAAGTCACACTTCGCTGTCGCCGCAATGCAGGGATGTATTCATCATCCAGGCTTGGGGATTTGCTGCAGCTGGGCTCCCTGATTTGCTCCAGGATGCCAAGGTTCGTGTCGCTGATCTCAGCTCGGATCATCCTTAGATGCCCATGAGAAATGCCTTTGCAACAGGATTTTTCTCCTTCTCCCTCCTGCTGTTCTTAGGGCCAAACTGTATCTCAGACCAATCCAGGCTCTTAAACCATTGTTTTCCCCCAATAACTTTGCTTTCTAATGACGACCCTTCCATCTGCTAGCGATAACACAGCAAGTCAGGGCTACAGCAAGAACGGGTGAATCTTATCCCCTTCTCAAGCGTCTCTCTCGACCCCTAAATCCTGCGTGCACTGCATTGGTAGCAGATCTGTTCCAGTCTGGAGCTGATCTCACCAGCCGTGAGGTGAATGACTTCATCAAGGCTCCCCCTTGCGGGCTCAGGGCCTTTGATGCTTGCTTCAGTCCCCTAAATTTAAGCAGCACTCTCTAACCCAGCAGGTTTTCCTCTCCCTGTTTTGTTTTTGGCTTATCCAGACACATAACCCATAAGCCCCCAAGCCGTGGCTGTGACTAGGGCTTCTGCCCCATTGCTGTTCTTGCATCTTTGCTTGCTGCCAATACTGTTCCTCAGCAGCAAGAGCGTTCCCGTGTTCTCAGATCATCCCCTGACGCCCTTGGGAAGACGCCATCAGCAACAGCAGATCCAGCCGAGCCTTCCCCAGGGGGTAAGGAGGCACCCCCCACTCCCTGTGCTGGCCAGGAGGGCACTGCTGCCTGCTCAGTCGAGGGATCAAGACACCCCCTGAGCTGCCCCGTCTGGAAGGAGGGCTGGAACACAAGGAAGCCACCAGCCACACAGCTCACCTCTACCTCTGGTATTCACTTCTCTCGCTTGCTTGTCTCGCCAAGCCAGTTGCTCTAATGACAGAAGCAAGGTGGAAAATAAATTTACAGAGGTCAAGGCAATTCCCCAAAGGAAGCAAGTGCAATTATCCCCATGCTAACAAGCAGGGAAACTGAGGCAGCGAGCACAGATAAGCATTTCCTTGAGTCTTGCTCCAAGACATGTTTAATTGCAGAAATCTAACCTGCAGGTTTTCTGATGCCTTACCCAGCATCCTGTTTCCTCATTCTGCTCCTGTAGTTGTAGAAGGATGCCTTTGATCACTGGGGACAGGTGAAAAAAAAAATAAAAAAAAGGAAACACTGAAAGAAATGGAAGGGAGCAATCCTGGTGGATGACTGCATACCACAAGAAAGTGCTGCATATGAAAGGGAAGGAGACATTTCCTATGAGATTAAAGGAGCTCAACCTGCTCCCCCTCTAGAGAAGTATGCAACTCTATACTTGCCTCTCTAATTGCAACCCTCCCCTGGGAAAGGTGCTTGAAAGTATTGCAAAACAAAGATGAGCCAAGGTCAGGGAATAGCAGGGCTGCAAATCCAGAGGATTGCGTAAGAGGTGCGTGATCCGACGTAATGTCAGGAGAGGTGCTGCCAGCCCTGTGCTAAGAGAAAGTAGCAGAGGTAAAACTGAGCCAAAATCCCAGGAACTGGCTGCTGCAAGTCAGCCGGAGCAGGAGAACAAGAAAAGGGAACAGAAGACCACAGTACCGAGCTTCAGGAAAGCGAAGGTCTCTGGCAGAACGCCTTGCCAAGGAAAGAGGAATGTGACAGAGGAAAGGGAACCTGGCATCACGGGCCAGAGCCGACAACCCAGCAGGAAGCGCACAAAAGCTCTTGCTGCTGCACACAAGCGCATCTGAAAAACATTGCAGGGTTCGCATAAACACACAAGGCAGAAAAACCAAACAAACATCGGGACAGAGTGAGGGTGACGGGGCGGTTCTGGCTGGCTGAAGACGACCCGGTGAGCGGAAAACCCCTCTCCCAGGCGGCCTGGCCGTTCCCGCAAAGCCGCCTTCCCTTCCCGACTGAGGGGGGAACTTGGCCTGTTTTGTGATTCACCTCGACTCTACAGGCAGCAAGAGTGTTTGCTAAGCCCGGGTTGATCAGGCAAGAGCTCACCTGCCTGCTGCTGCTGCTGCCCTCTGCGGGGCAGCCTGCTGCAGGACCTGCCAAACCTGGCATCCAGCACCCCTCTGCCAGCACAAGCTTTCCTTTCGCCCGCACACCAACTAGCCAGGCCTCCGGCTCACGCGTAATCACTTTCCTCTGCAACTGGCTACGAGCTAATTATAGTTCCAGTACTTTCATTCTGGAGCAGTGCTAATTACAACGCAGAGCGATCCAAACCTAGTTTGGGATTCCAGATGTCAGTAAAAATAAATCAAGGGACAGGAGAAAGGTTTTTCCTCACACATCATCCAACCACTGTTGCAGTGAGCGAAATTCAGATCTCTTTTTTTGTTGTTGCTACACTTAGGGTCCTTGTTATACGGAAAGCAGATGTAACCAAAGGGGAAAGAGACTCCTGCATCTATGAGAAATAAAAGTGAGGTTTGAAAGGCCACTGCTGACACAACTGTTATGCATGAGTTCACTTGCCATTGTTTGCAACCAGCCGAAAAGGGGTGCAGCCCTCCATTCATCCTAGGTTTGTGAACCACGGGGTGTTGCCAAAGAGAGGAGAATAAACAACCTCCAGGCTCAGACTGATCGAAACCTGGGCAAAAAGGGGCTGTGAATCACCAAGCTGAAAAAGCACTTCTTCAGAGGCATCGCTTTGTGTGTTGGAGAGAAGAGACGCATGCCTTCTACGCAGATCATACATGACCTAGAAGAGCAGTATCTAGGCCTCCGTCTCCTAAAGATGGCTTAAGGATTCTCAGAAAAATCAAAGAGGTAGTACTGACAGGCAAGGCTGACTCATAAGATTAAAATAACTCATGTAAAACATGCCTGAACACAGCAGAGGGAAGGATGTGGCAATTTTCTATGAAAGGCATTTAAAAAAGGCTTTGTGATGCAAGGCTGTTAACAGTTAAAAAAAAATACTTTCAAGTGCCAAAAAGCACCTTTTAACGGCTAAAAAAAGCCCCCCCCCGCCCCCCAAACAATGGCTATACATAAGGAAAAGACATTAGGTGCGACATCAGGGCAGTTCCCTCGCCTGCCATCTGCGGGATTAGCCCTGTAAATGAGTAACCCAACACAGGACCGCTCTGACTCAGACCTCTGTCTCCAGGATGAGGCACTTCAAGGCTGAACAGGCTGCATCATACATGCACTCTTATCACGGAGGCTCCAGCAGGCCCAGCCCCAGCAGATGGCTTTGAGCATCAGCACAGATGTGGTGCACTGGGGAACTCTTCAAACAGGTGGAGGCGTACACTCCCTGAAGGTCAAGGAGTTGGCACCTTTCACTGACATTCTTTAAAAATAAAATAAAAAAAACAACAAAAGCAATAAATCACCACAGGGACACACACACACGCTGTTCCTTCCAAGACCAGCAGAGCACAGAAAAAATAAGCAGTATTAAGTGACACAGTTAGGACTGGCCTGGATCACCAGAGCCGCAAGGAGAAAGAGGGCAAATGGAGTTTATACTCCTGGAGCCCTTAGTTATATCCATGGCTTCGCCCAACCGCCCGCTCTCAGCCGCTCAGCCAGGCGGGAGGCGGCCGGGCCGGGCCGGGCCCTACCAGGAGCAGACAGGCAACTGCTTAAAGCCGACTCCAACCAGGCCACGGGCGCTCGCATTTATAATGTCTCCTAAATCACTCC